CTGTGGGTTTCACACCCATGGATTCAACCAACCATTGATTGAAAATATTTAAAAAAAAACACAGCAGTAAAAATAATATAAATAAAAAATACAGCATAACAACTATTTATACAGCATTTATATCACGTTAGGTGTCCTCACTCCTCTTTAGTTTTTCATAATATGTGGTAAAGCTTTTAACGTTTTGACTAGCTGTTTTCCCAGAGGTGTAAAGAAAGTCTCTGGTTTCAGAGTCCCTGGGATTCTAAGAGTCCCTTTTGGGGAAGTCACTGGGGAAAGTCATGGGAAACATCAGTCTCACCATAATTAGGGCCTCTGCAACAGAAGAGGTGCTGTGGTAGCAGCAGAGAACTTAGTGCTTTGTCTGTCTTTTGAGAAGTGCTCTTTTGATGTGAACTTGTCCACTGACTGGCACATGACTGTCATCCCGGTACTTTCATTCCTCATTCTCTTTGGGATTCCTTTTGTCCTGCATGCAGTTATTTTTTTTACTTCTCTGATTTCCATGTCCTTCTCTTTGTTTAATTGTTTTTTTCCTCTTGGTAATAAATATTTTTTGATATCTTACTGAAAATGAATATTTTAGTAAGGTAAATACTTTGCAACTTTTCAAATATCTGAAAATGTAGTTATTCTACCCTCCTACTGGAATAACAACCTAGAATTCTATACCCAGCCTAACTTTTTTCTTTAGAGTTTTTGAGGACATTTCTCCATTTTCTTTTTCTATCTTGTTGAAATATCTGAAACTTTTCTTTTTCTTTTCCTTTTTTTTTTTGAGTCAGGGTCTCACTCTGTTGTTCAGGCTAGAGTGCAGTGGCATGATCATGGCTCACTGCAGTGTCGACCTCCTGGACTTAGGTGATCTTTCTGCCTCAGCTTCCTGAGTAGCTGGGTGGGACTACACTCCCAAGCCATCATACTTGGCTAATTTTGGGGGGAATTTTTTTTTTGAGAGATGAGGCCTTGCTATGTTGCCCACACTGGTCTTGAACTCCTGGGCTCAAGCAATCTTCCCACCTTGGCCTTCCAAAGTGCTAGGATTATAAGTGTAATTCTTACCTTTTCTATGTGTTTTGTTTTTCTCCCTTTCTTCTGGCAATTTGTAGAATCTTTTTTTTTTGTCTTTAATGTTCTAAATTTATCTTTTGTGTCTTTGTGTGGTCTGTTTTTTTCAGGTCTGGGTATTTTTTAGGTCTCTTCAGTATGGCAACTCCCATTTTCCAGTGTGGGAACACTTCTTGAATTATAGTACTCAATTTGTCTCATCTGATTTCTTTGTCCTTTCTTTCTGAAACCTCTGTTGCCTTTTTGAACTTCCTGAACTAGTTCTATAATTTGTTTTCCCCTACTACTTTCCATTTTTATGGTGCTTTACTTTCTAAAAGATTCTCTTACCTTTAACTTTTAACAATTCTTTTGAGTTTTTAATTTGGCTGTCCTGTTTTTAATTTCCAATAGCTCTTTATTTTTTCTCTGAGTAGTCCTTTTAAAAATGATCGTTTTATTGCAGTATTTTTCTCTCATCTCTCTGAGGATATTATAGTATTTTTTTTTGAGTTGGAGTCTCACTCTGTCATCCAGGTTGGAGTGCTGTGGCACACTCATGGCCACTCCAGCGTTGACCTGCTGGGGTTCAGCAATCCTTCCACCTCAGCCTTCCAAGTAGCTGGAACTATAGGCGTGTGCTACCATGCCCGGCTAATTTTTGATTTATTGTGGAGATGAGGTCTTACCAAGTTGCCTGGGCTGGTCTCGAACCCGCAGGCTCAGGTAATCCGCTCACCTTGGCCTCCCAAAGTGCTAGAATTACAGAAAAAAAGTTTTCTTCTTCTTGCGCAGTCTGTTTTTCTTCCACGTTGCTTTTGTTGTTGTTTTGTTTTGTCCTGGTTGCTATATTCTTGCTAGGGGTTGTCTTTGTTTTATGTTGCTATAACACACTACCAAAGACTTGGGAAATTATAAAGAAAGAAAAGTTGCTTATTTCTCACAGTTCTGTGGGCTGGGAAGTCCTATATCAAGGTGTCAACATCTGTCAAGAACCTTCTTGTGATATCTTGTTGTGGAAGGTGGAAGGGAAAGAGAGTGTGAGAGAAAGAAGGAAGGGGGTCAAACTCATCCTTCTATCAGAAACCTGCGATAATGGCATTAATCCATTCATGAGGGCAGAGTTCTCATGACCTCTCTTAAAGGTCCCATCTTTTTCAATACTATTGTATTGGGGATTGAGTTTCCAGTACATGAAATTTGGGAGTCACAGTCAAACCATAGCAGGGCCTTTCCTTATGTTTGTTTGTTTGTTTTGAGTTGGAGTCTCACTCTGTCATCCAGACTGGAGTGCAGTGGCCGCTCCCGGCCACCGCAGCCTTGACCTGCTGGGCTCCGGCGATCCTTACTCCTCAGCCTTCCGAGTAGCCGGAATTACAGGCGTGCACTACCATGCCCAGCTGATTTTTTGATTTATTGTAGAGATGAGGTCTCGCTGCCCAGGCAGGTCTCGAACCCGCGGGCTCAGGCAATCCACTCACCTCAGCCTCCCAAAGGCGCGGGATTAGTGACCCTTGGCTCTCTGCTAATGATTAAGGGTGAGCAACCAAAAAGATGATTGGAAGCTATCAGTGTGTGGTTGGTTGCACTTTTGCTTTTGAACTTCACTGCAGGATGACCTGGGTTGTTCTTTTTTGGTGGAAATTCCTGATGTCAGTGTATTTTTAAGTATTTCTTCTTGATTAGATTACAAAGGGAATGGACATCCAGTCTCCTACTTGGAGGGCAAGGAATGGCTGAGAGCATTTTGCGAGCTCTGTGGGCAAAGAGGTCTGTGCTTTCAGCATTTAGAGTGCCTACAGTGACATGGCTTCCCAGTTTTGTTGTTTTGTATCACAGCCCCCGGTGCAGATCCCTTCAGTTTGATGCTCTCCAGGGAATCAATCTCTAAATATTTTCCTGAGTGGAGAAGGGGAGAGTTACAGCAGTGTAGAGTTGGGGAGAGATGTAACTTCTCAAATAGCTTTAACCCTACAGTGTGTATTTTAGGCACCTCCAATTAAAGAGCTGCCATTTCCTGTTCCTTTTAGGGATTCTATGATGTACATGAGGTTGGTTCTCAGCTCCTCTCTTTACTGGTCTGGCATTGACTTTCATTTAGGTCCAGTCACCTACCACTTGTCCATTCACTTTCTCGTTCCAAAATTCTGTTGCCATCTTCTCTTTTGTTTTACCTGACTTGTTCATTCAGATAATCAAAACAGTTTATTGTAGTTTTAGTGGAATTTGGGGATGCAGTAAATTTTGCTACTTTGGCAGGTTGAATGTAGGAAATTGGGTGCTAACAAAATGGTAAAAAGTGATGCCTGCTATATTCTCAGCAGTGAAAAATAGACTGTTTACATCAAGCCTCTTGACGGCCATGAAGCTAATTAGAAGATACTGGAATACTGTCAGTTTGGAAACCAGTGTCCTCGTGACCGTGCTTGCTAGCTTGTCTAGCACAGTCTAAGTCTAGGATCTGCTCTCTAGACCTTGCTTAGTCCCTCTGGTTGGCTGAACCAAAATTGCTTTTGGCAGCTACAGCTGCAAAGTTTTGGTATTCTTTTTGCTTTGCAGGAGAGCACACCAGTTTGAGGGTAAAATGGATGACAAGTGAGCCAATCCATTGTATTTTACATCATAATCCAAGAGTGATAAATAGGAAGATTGTTTTTTTATTTACTAGTAATATTTTGAAATTCATTTTTGTACATGAATGCCAGACAGTTTATTGTTTTGACATTTTCTTTTTAAATCTCTTTGTCAGTGTGATTTACAAATTTTTTTTTTTTTTTTGAGTTGGAGTCTTGCTCTGTTGCCTAGGCTGGAGTGCAGTGGCACGCTCCCGGCCACTGCAGTCTTGACCTGCTGGACTCAGGCAATCCTTTCGCCTCAGGCTCCCAAGTAGCTGGGACTACATGCATGTACCACTACACCTGGCTAATTTTTCGATTTATTGTAGAGATGAGGTCTCACCAAGTTGCCCAGGCTGGTCTTAAACCCCTGGGCTCAGGCAGTCCTCTTGCCTCTGCCTCCCAAAGTGCTGGGATTACAGATGTGAGCCACTGTACCAGGCAAAAATTTTTAATTTGTGAAATATTTTTAAAATTTAAATGTGTGAAATATTTTGAATATTTAAGCATACAAAAATGCACAGTGAGCCCCCATGTAGTCACTACTCAGTTTTATTGACTCTTCACAGTGTACTATATATTTACTACAAATTCACTTTCCCCCAGTAATAAAACATTGGGGGATGTTTTAAACCTCTTTCCTCCTTCCCTTCCTAGAGATTCTCACCTGAATTTGGTGTTTAATCATTCTTATACATGTTTTCATGTTGTTGTTATATACATATATAGACATTAGCATTATATAGTACTGTTTTGCCTTTGTGTGTAAAGCTATCATACTAAACATATTCTGCAACTTATATTTTACTTAAAACATTTTTACCATTTATCTAGTTTGATACATGAATTCTGGTTCACTCATTTTAACCACTACAGTATATTCCAGTGTAAGAATAGGTCAGTGTATTTATTAATCTGCTCACTTGTTCATGAACATTTAACCATTAAATGTATTTCAGGAAAATGCTTGTATATTTTTCACCATTTTGATTAAACATAATTATTATTACTCAGTAGTACAGTGTTTCAGGTCAATGAACTTTTTGTTCTTCTGATTTAGTGAAAATAACGTAGACTTTGTGATGCAGAAGCATCTGGCCTGAAATGAAGGGGCGGGGGGGGAGGTCTTAGAGGTGTGTCTGTCTGAATTTTGTGCAAAAGACCTGAATGTTGTTGGGATGGCTTTGAGGAATGGATTGGTCCTCTCCTTAGTCATCCTCCAAAGGCAGGTGAGAAAGACACTGTTGCACCTATTTCCTGTGACAAGAGTTTTGTTGCAATGATTCTTTCTGTTTGACAGGATATTTACTGTGTCCATCTGTGTTCTTGCTATTTCAGAAAGGATGTTGCTGCGGGATGTAAAAGCTCTGACGCTCTACTCTGACCGCTATACTACCTCTCGTAGGCTGGATCCCATCCCACAGCTGAAGTGTGTTGGAGGCACAGCTGGTTGTGATTCTTATACTCCCAAAGTCATACAGTGTCAGAACAAAGGCTGGGATGGGTATGATGTACAGGTAATAGCCATTGCATTGATGGCAGTCTAAATGGGATTTTTATTCAATGAATTGTTTATTGGGACGTTAGTCAGCTTCCCCCCCGCCCCCCCAATGGTCAGCCAGCGTCATAACAAGGTTTGAGGGTGGCACATCTCACTCGCACATGTTAGTGAATACCCAGGATCTTATGATGAACTACAAAAGGATTATCAGAATTTTTGGGGAAGTACATGTGGATAATCTCAAGTCAACCGAAAATATATAAATTAATCAGTCACTATTCCTTTGGAAGAAATGACCTTCAAAATTAATGAACTGATTTTTTTTTTCCTTTGAGTTGTAGTCTCACTCTGTTGCCCAGGCTGGAGTGCAGTGGCACACTCAGGGCCACCACAGCCTCGACCTGCTGGGCTCAGGAAATTCTTCCACCTCAGCCTTCCAAGTAGTTGAAACTACAGGTGCACGCCACCATACCCAGCTAATTTTTTGATTTATTGTAGAGACAAGGTCTTGCCAAGTTGCCTAGGCTGGTCTCGAACCTCTGGGCCTAGGCAGTCCTCTTGCCTCTGCCTCCCAAAGTACTAGGATTACACTCTTGAGCCACCGCACCCAGCTTGAAATGAACTGATTTTAAAGTCTGGAAATAAATATTAATTGTAGCTTTTGTACCATGACTTCCTTCTACGACATTAGTAGTAAGTTTTCAAAACTTTTTATATACTTGAGGGTGGGGCTAGGGAATTGCTATGGTTGTCATTCTCCTGTCTTTTCTCAAAGAATACCAATCCACCCTTCAGGAATAAAGATGATCAAGAATCATAGATTGTAAGGAGTAGGGGTACATATATCCCTGTTATGCTTCAAACATTTGACTTTACAATTGTTAGGATTGTGAGTATTCACCTCTGAATGGAAGCATCTCAGTGGGCTTTATTTACTGCCTTTGAGACTCTGGCATTTTATACATAGAGTAGAGCATCTCCTTAAGTTCCAAAACAAAATGCTTTAGAGGTGGGATAGATTTTCTTAAATGAATTCTGCTTAAATCACTGCTTATATATTTCTATTTTGTATTCAGACTGCTTTCGAAAAACGTTTATGATGAGTAGTTCCTAGGCAAACCCTTGTATTGATGATTTTTCCCCTCAGAATGATATTCTTCTTTGATACAACCTTTATGTACTGTTTCTGCAATTCAGAGAGAGTTCGTATTTACTAGATAATACTTATTTCACAACATTACTCCTAGTATTGCTAAGTTGAATAATAGAAACTCCACGTTAAAGCAGAATTCTCATTGCCACTTTACTTTTAAATTCCTTTTACAGTCTTGATGGAAAAAAGGCAGTCAATATGATATTCATTAAACACATTAAATGCAATATACAAACATGAGTAAGGTGGAATTAAAAAACTCTTACTAGTAGAAGATAGAAGACAAACACGTTACATGTAAAGTCATGTCTGGTTGGGGCCACTGGGAAGGCTGTAACAGAGGAAGTATTTGTTTGTGTCAGGAAGGAATGATAAGAGTTTTAGAGAAGGAAATAGCATGAACAAAAAAGTGTTGAATACATTGTACATTGGATTATGTTTAGTAGCATGAGAGAGCCGCCTCCACTTCCAAGAATTTACATTTAAATATAGTACTCATAAGCCACTTTTAGTATGCACTATTAGAAAAATAGCAGTTAACATGAAATACCAATATAGATTTAGCTTGTTTTATTTACCTAAATCAGTAAACTTATAAATATTTCTCTAAATAAAATTATTTTAAAAATAGTGTAGTAACAACAACAGAAAAATAAAAACTGCATATTACCTAAGTTAAAAACTTTTAGGCTTCAAAGGATACCAGCAAGAAAGTGAAAAGACATCCCACAGAATGGGAGGCAGCTTTGCAAATCATATCTGATGAGGGCTTGTATCTAGAATATAAAAGAACTATAACAACTCAATAAGAAAAAAAATAACCAAATTAAAATTGCAAAGCATCTAAAAAGACATTACCCCAAAGAAGATACATAAATGACCAATAAACATGAAAAAAATTCACCATCAGAGAAATGCAAATCCAAACCACAATAAGAAACCACTTGACACCCCAAATAATGGTTTATAAAAAAGACAGATAACAAGTTTGATGAGGATGTGGAGAAATTGGAGACTTCATACACTGCTGTTGGGAATGCAAAATCATGCAGCTGCTTTGGAAAACGCTGGCATTTCCGCAAAAGTTTAAGCATAGAGTTGCCATATGCCTCACTCATTCCTCTCCTAGGTATATACCCAACAGAACTGAAAACATAGATTCATACAAAAACTTATTTACAAATGTTTGTAGCAGCATAATAGCAAGAAAGTAGAAACAACTCAAATGTCCATTACTGATGACCGATAAGCAAAATGTGTTATATCTATACAATGGAATGTTATTCAGCCATAAAAAAGAATGAAGTATTGATACATGCAATGACATGGGCGATCTTTGAAATGTTGTGTAAGTGAAAGAAGCCAGTAACAAAGGACAACATATTATTTATTATTCCATTAATATGAAGTGTCCAGAATAGGGAAATCCATATAGATAGAACGTAGGCTGGGAGGTTGAAGGGGAAGATGGGGAATGACTGCTAGAGGGTACAAGATTTCTTTTGAGGTGATGAGAATATTCTAAAATTGATTATGGTGATGGTAGCACAACTTGGTGAACATACTTAAAAATCATTGAAACGGGTGAATTGTATGGTATGTGAATTATATTTCTTTTTTTTTGAGTTGGAGTCTCACTCTGTCACCCAGACTGGAGTGCAGTGGCCGCTCCCGGCTACCGCAGCCTTGACCCGCTGGGCTCCGGCGATCCTTCCGCCTCAGCCTTCCAAGTAGCCGGAACTACAGGCGCGTGCTACCACGCCCGGCTAATTTTTTGATTTATTGTAGAGGTGAGGTCTCATCAAGTTGCCCAGGCGGATCTCGAACCCACGGGCTCAGGCAATCCACTCACCTCGGCCTCCTGAAGTGCTGGGATTACAGGCTGAGCCACTGAGCCCGGCTGTGAATTATATTTCAATAAAGCTGTTAGAAGTAAAATACTATACCTGAGCTTTGAAATAATAATTTGTACAAAAACTTACATAATGGCAATAGAATTAACTGAACCTACTCTCATCAAGATTTAAAGATTTGCCTATTCACAAAATTTAGTTATAGATTTTGAACTAAACGGGCTTATTTTCTTTTAAGGTGGAATTTTGAGCTAGCATGGTTTCTTTTTGCATTTTTCTGAAAATCTTTTTAAAGATAGGCTCTGGAAAGTTAGTTCATGGTTTTATAAAATTTGTGCAGAAAGCTTTTTTCTCAGAAGGTTATTAATGTCTCTGATTTTTTTTTTTTTTTTTTTTGAGTTGGAGTCTCACTCTGTCGCCCAGACTGGAGTATAGTGGCCACTCCCGGCCACCGCAGCCTCGCCTGCTGGGCTCCGGTGATCCTTCCACCTCAGCCTTCCAAATAGCCGGAATTACAGGCATGCGCTACCATGCCCAGCTGATTTTTTGATTTATTGTAGAGATGAGGTCTCGCCAAGTTGCCCAGGCGGGTCTCGAACCCGCGGGCTCAGGCAATCCACTCACCTCAGCCTCCCAAAGCGCGGGATTACAGGCTGAGCCACCAAGCCTGGCTACGTCTCTGATGTTATATGTAGCTACCAAATATTCACATAGGATGCTGATTTTTGAGCCTTAACATTTATAAATAATCCTTATTTTCAAAGGAAGGATCTTGAAAACAGTGGCAAAAAGTTGACCTTTTGAAATTTTCTAAAATTTTACAAATTATAGAATATCCAGTATGCACAAAAGAATATATAACATGTATATGTAAAGAGAAAGGAATACTAATAAAAAGAACACTCATGTACCACCACCCATCAGAAGAACACTAATATTACCATTATTTTTGAAGCCCCTTTTCTGTCCTCCCTCAACACAAATACTCATTATTCTGAATTTTGTTGATCATTCCTTTGCTTTATTTTGCCATTTTATGACAGTTATATAGCCCAAATAATATATATAAAATGAAAAAAATTTTGTTTTTAATAACCTATTTCTATTCTTTTTCATAGTGGGAATGTAAAACTGATTTAGATATTGCATACAAGTTTGGAAAAACTGTGGTGAGCTGTGAAGGCTATGACTCCTCTGAAGACCAGTATGTATTAAGAGGTTCCTGTGGCTTGGAGTATAATTTAGATTATACGGAAGTCGGCCTGAAGAAATTTAAAGAGTCTGGAAAACACCCCGGCTTTTCCTCTTTCTCTGATTACTATTATAAGTGGTACTCCGCAGATGCCTGCAGCACGGGTGGATTGGTCACCATTGCGGTGCTCCTGGGTATTGCCTTTGTTGTGTATAAGCTGTTCCTTAGTGATGGGCAGTATTCTCCTCCACCGTATTCTGCTGAGTATCCATTTTCCCGTTATCAGAGATTCACCAGCTCTGCAGGACCTCCTCCCCCAGGCTTTAAGTCTGATTTCACAGGTATGTTTCCCTTGGCAATGGCAGTAAATAGGGTGAGGGTGAGGTAGTGAGTCCTGTGCTCAGTAGAAAATGGTTGCATCGGGGAATCAAAGTAGATATGTCTTCTCATTTTATTTTTTTACTTTCAACTTCTTTGACCTCTTCTGTTTTTTTCTATAAGGGTATTTTGTGAGTACTATTTTAAGGATGTCTGATTACATTGTAGATCATCCTAATCAGGAAATGTGACCTCAACCCCATCTCACTGTACATAAAAATCAATCCATTAAGTATTACAGATCTCAACATAAAAGATAAAACAATTACATTTCCAGAATATTTGTCATGACCTTAGGAAAGACAAAGATTTCTTTTTTTTTGAGTTGGAGTCTCACTCTGTCGCCCAGACTGGAGTGCAGTGGCCCAGCCACTGGCAGCCTCGACCTGCTGGGCTCCGGCAATCCTTCCACCTCAGCCTTCCGAGTAGCCGGAATTACAGGTGCGCGCTACCACACCCGGCTGATTTTTTGATTTATTGTAGAGATGAGGTCTTGCTGCCCAGGCGGGTCTCGAACTCGCGGGCTCAGGCAATCCACTCTCCTCAGCCTCCCAAAGGTGTGGGATTACAGGCTGAGCCACTGAGCCCAGCGACAAAGATTTCTTAAAAGAACATAAAAAGTACTAGTCATAAAATAAAATATGGATAAATTAGGTTTTATTTCAATTAAGAACATCTGTTCAACAAAAGACTATTAACAAAATAAAAAGGCAAGTCAACAGACTGGGAGAAATATTTGTAAAGCATATTTTCAGCTAAGATATTTAGAATATATAAAGAACTACAAATTCAAGAAAAGGCGGACAACCTAATTTTAAAACTGGATGGAGGTCTTGAACAGCCATTTTATAAGAATAGAAACTATCTAGATGACCAGTAAAAGTGTGAAAAGGTGCTTAGCATCATTAGTATTTAGAAAAATGTAAATTAAAACTACAGTGAGACTATTTTCAACCACCAGATAACCACCATAATGGCTAACATTAAAAAGACAGACTACCAACTATTGTCAAGGATGTAGAGTGGCTGGAACTTTCATACTTTGCTGCTGGTAGGAGTTAAAAGGGTAACATACTTGGAAAACTTTCAGTATCTACTGAAGTAAACATATGCCCACCCTATGACCAGTAACCCCATTCCTAGATCTATACCTAAGAGAAGTGAAGGCATGCATGCGCTACAAGACATGCAAAAGAATGTTCGTAGCAGTTTTATTCATAACAGCCAAAAATTGGAAATAGAATATTCATAAACATTAGAATGGGACAAACTGAGTTTTTTACATAATGGAATATGTAAAAACTACTGATATATGCAACAGGAGGATTGACACTCATAGACATAATGATGTGCCAGACACAAAGAAGTACATGATTCTACTTTAAAAAGTTCAAGAACGGACAAAACTAAAGTATGGTAAGAGGAGTCAAAGTAGTGCTTATCTGTGATGGAGGTGGATACCTTCTAGGAATGTTATGAGGGAGCTTTCTGAGGTTGCTAGAAATGGTTTATTGATGTGATGGGTGGTTATGTGAATTACCACGTATGTACAGATCTCTTGTGCCATACATGTAAGAGCACATTATTTGCATATTGCATATCAACATAATATGTATATTATGGTTAAATTATGTGTATATTATATGTGAAAAACTTCCTCTGAGTGGAAGATACTTTTTAGGTAGGTCCCTTTAAGATCTGACTTTCCAGCTAAGAAAATAGCTGGCTGCTTCCACTTGGATTTCATCATTAGAGACTCAGGTGTACAACTCTCACCTGGAGCTCTTAGAGATGGTCACACTGAGAAGGGAAGTCAGTCTGAAAAGTGAGGTGTATTTTAGTAGCTGATCTTGAGCAGAACAGATGTAATTTTATAGGAAGAGCCTTCTCTGTGCCCCTAGTCCCAGAATATATCCCTCTTTCTCCTGTGTCAGTGGAAAATGCTCTCCTTAGTTATAAATCAGTATTTTACCTTTTTGAATGCAACTTGTTTATAAATGGAGGCTTGATAATTAATAAATACAATAGTACAAATGAAATAACTGAAATATATTATCTCTGCTTTTGTAGGTTATGCTGTGTTTAAGTGAGAATACATAATAAATCATTTTTATTTTAAGGACCACAGAATATTGGCCATGGTGCAACTTCTGGGTTTGGCAGTGCTTTCACAGGACAACAAGGATATGATAATTCAGGACCAGGATTCTGGACTGGCCTGGGAACTGGAGGAATGTTAGGATATTTGTTTGGCAGCAATAGGTAGGCTTTGCATTGATCTCACTTGCTCTTTAATTCACCTTTTTTTTGGGAGGCTTCTTTGTTTTGCTTACAGTTTGACTGCATTTGGTTTTGCTAAGGGGAATAAATTGTGATAACATTACCTTATTAAACCAGATTCTCTGGGCATGGGGAAAGTACACTATATGTACTTTGATTTGTATTATATACGTCATTTTCTTTCATTGTGTTCCTTCCTCTGTCATCCTCATAGATATTACGAGATAGGAAAAAAACTGTTTACTTGACATCTGAGATAATGAGAAGGTGGGAAAGAACACAGTATTTGGGGGACAGTTAGCAGTCTGGTTTGGTGGGAGAATAATATAAGTAAGGTCAAAAAGAACATGCCTGGAATAGCAATAGTCTTTTAAGTCTAGGGTTTATTTGAGTGCAAATTCAGAAAAAAGGAACATATGCTCCCTGTCACTTTCCTCCCACAGCTATCACCATAACATTTATTGCATGTTAACCCTAATATGCCAGGAAAAACACATTGACAGAGATACCTTTTTCTGATGATTTAGTATTTAAAAATTATACTCACAAGAAAAATGCCTTTTGTATCTTTAAAGAGGAGCAACACCCTTCTCAGACTCATGGTACTACCCATCCTATCCTCCATCGTACTCCAGCACTTGGTATGGTCGTGCCTACTCACCGCTTCGTGGGGGTGCAGGGAGCTATTCGGCATCTTCAAACGCAGATACAAAAATCAGAACTGCATCAGGTAAGAGGAAAAATTAAGATGTTCCTCTTGTATAGCAGTAAAGTACTACAGAAATAGTTTGGAAACTTAAGATGCTTAACTATATATTTAGCAATCATGGTTTTATTTGGTATACCCACCCCAAAATATTCAGATTCTTTCTTTCCTCGCACTTCTAAACATTCTTTAAAGATCAAACAGAGATTAGATTTAGACTCAGCTCTTTCAGTAGCCAAGGTTCTAACTTAAACTTTCCTGGATGCTAGTTTCCACATATGTTTTATTCTTGATCGCTATGGATCTTTTAAACTGTAAACCAGAATTTTCTAAGTAGAAGCTTAGAAATTTTATGCTTAGTAGCTTATAGTCAATAAAATTCAAAAAAATATATTGAGCTATGCTTTAAATAATTGTCAAATATGATTATAATGTTTATTGCAGTGGCTAAGAGGATATTTTGTTAAAAAACAAAGTAATATAAAGAACAGTAATAACTGGAGTTAAGCATCAAGCTAATCAGCAGAAAATGGGAGCTGGTGGTAATGAGATAGTGATCGATTGCTGTGGACTAGATTTGTCTTTCAGGAGAAAGAAGTTATAGAATAATGATTAATTCTTGCAATTAATAGAAAAATATATTTACATATGTTTTAAAATGTTCGAGCGGGAGTCTCATAGTGCTGGTTTGGATATAAATTGCTACATTCACTTTGAAAAACTGGTACTCGTGGTGGCGTGTGCCTGTAATTCTGGCTACTCGGAAAGCTGAGGCGGAAGGATCGCCAGAGCCCAGCAGGCCGAGGCTGCGGTGGCCGGGAGCGGCCACTACACTCCAGTCTGGGTGACAGAGTGAGACTCCAACTCAAAAAAGAAAAAAGAAAAAAAAAGAAAAACTGGTTCTACCTACTAAAATTGAACCTAAGTGTATCCAGGACCCAGCAATTTCACTCTCAGATGTATAGCAACAGAAATGCATGCACTTGTACACTGAGAGATAAGCACAAAGTTGTTCACAGCATCCCTATTCATAATAGCTTCCATCTGGAAGCAGTCCACCTATCCATCAGCAGGAAAATGGATGATACTTTGAACTACATGTACTGTATATAGTAAAATACTGTGCAAGTGGAAATAATAAGTAGTTGTGTGCAATAGCATGGATGAATGGATGGATCTACTACATATACAGAAGCCAGACACAAAAGAGTATATGCAGTATGGACCAGGCACAGTGGCCTACACTAGCACTTTGGGAAGCTGAGTCAGGAGAATTGCTTGAGACCAGGAGTTTGAGACCAGTCTGGGCAACATAGTAAGACCCTGTCTCTACCAAAAAAAAAAAATAGAATATATTCAATATGATTATAGCGTTTATGTTTTATAAAATACATATTTAAAAACAAAACTAATCTATGGTGTTAGATGATAAAATAGTGGTTACTTTTGGGGGGGTAAAAGGGGAAATGATTAGGAGAATGTTTAATAATATAGCTAGGTAAGGCATATCATTACAGAAGAAAACTCATTCTCAGTGGAAACAAAACTTGGAAAAAAATCATCATCCAGACTATCTACTAGAAATGTATGGGACTAGCCGGGCCCAGTGGTTCATGCCTATAAACCCTGCACTTTGGGAGGCTGAGGTGAGAGGATTGCCTGAGCCCACGGGTTTGAGACCTGCCTGGACAACATAGCGAGACCTCCTCTCTACAATAAATAAAAAAATTAGCTGGGCGTGGTGGCGCATGTCTGTAGTTCCAGCTACTTGGAAGACTGATGCAGTAAGGCAGAAGGATCACCTGAGCCCAGCAGGTCGAAACTGTGGTGGCCGTGAGCATGCCCCCGTACTCCAGCCTGGGTAACAGTGTGAGACTCTGACTCAAAAAAAAAAGAAAAGAAATGTATGGGACTTATATGAAGAAAATCATAAAGTATTACCAAATAATCTAAAAGAAAACCCGGAAATAGTTGAGAGACCTTCCAGATGGGAAAACTTGCCATTTTTTAGTCTCTTTGTGTGTACTTGTGCACGCTTGTGTGTAAGTGTGTATGTCAGTGTCAGATGTCTGGGTAACACCATTGAAAGACGAACCCTCTCCACATTTCTTCTGTTTACTGCTGGAGTCAGGAGAAGTAGCAGGTCATAGCTTATACTCCATTGATCTGTCTGCCTTTCTGGCTTAGACTTTTGAGTATTGTCTGTAACACATTGGCCCCACTATAGAACACATCATTTCTTTGATCCTGACTAAGTCATTCCAGCAAGCGTGTGTGAGTGTCGTAGCCTCAGTGAGTGGGAAGGTTGTTGTGGGAGATGCTTGCACTATCCTGCAGAGCCCTGTTCCTCCTAGCAGCTCATTCTTCTTTCTCTTATCTTTCTTTCTTTCTTTTTTTTTTTTTTTGGAGTCTCACTCTGTCGCCCAGACTGGAGTGCAGTGGCCGCTCCCGGTCACCACAACCTCGACCCGCTGGGCTCTGGTGATCCTTCCACCTCAGCCTTCTGAGTAGCCAGAATTGCAGGCATGCATTACCACGCCTGTCTGATTTCTTGATTTATTGTAGAGATGAAGTCTCGCCAAGTTGCCCAGGCGGGTCGCAAACCTGCGGGCTCAGGCAATCCACTCACCTCGGCCTCCCAAAGTGTGGGATTATAGGCTGAGCCACCAAGCCCGGCTTATCTTTCATTCATTGTCTAACGATAAACATGTATTACTTTTGTAATGTTATAAGCAATTTTAATGCATTAAAAAAACTAATATCAATTTTACTCCTCTCATTCTAGGCTATGGTGGTACCAGAAGACGATAAAGTAGAAAGTCGAAGTCAAATAGTGGATGGAAAAATTGCGGATTTTTCATCACTTTCTCTTTAGAAAAAGTGCTACTTGCTAACAACAGGGAAAAGGGGATATTCAAAATTCTGTGGTGTTTCGTCCTGTATAGCTTTTTGTATTCTATTATTTGAGGCTGAGTTGATATGTGACAAAATATTTACGTATTGTATGTTAGTGTAACATGCAGTTGTATATTGCAGTTTTGGAAAGTGATGATTACTGTGGAATGCTGAAAATCTGTTGTTTAATTTCTAAAACCTGTGATGACATAAGCAGCATTAAGAATGAAGTCATTGTATTTCAGTCTTAGGTGGTTGTAGCTGATGAGTTATTACCTTACTGAGACAATAATATTCTGTTTGTTATTAAATTATTTGGTGTTTGTGTTCTTCAAACATTTAAACCAAGCTTTGGGCTACTAATTATACTAATTTGTGAGTTCTGGTCACTTTTGAGCTCTGGAGCTTTACATCCTTCAATGGTAGAAATGGTGGTAGCCTTCTGGTAAGTGAGAATTACCTTCTATAGGAAAAGATAGAAAATAAGCATCTAGAAGGTTGTTGTGAATGATTGTGTGCAGACAAATACTTGGACCCTTCATATTCAGTTCATAAGTGGTAAAGTTCGAATGCTTCAACAAAGGTCTTTTAATAACAAAAGCATGCAATTCTCTGTGGAATCTTAACTATTGTTGTAACAGTCTGTTTCAATCTTAAATTAAAATGACAATAAAAACATGTGAGGGGTTTAGTCTCTTTCTATTAGCCTGGACACAAATAGGTGTTCCTTTTTTTTTTGTTAACCCTTTGTCCCTATGGCAAAGGGCTCATGTAGAAGTTCTGGCTCCCAAAACAATAATTTTATGTGGTAGTCATCCCTTAGTTATTTGGTAAACACTTTCTTTTTTTTTTCCTCTTTATTTTAAAGATGTGGAGTCTAGGTCAGGATTAGGTACATAAGTGGTCTATATGCAGGTGAAGTTTGGGCCTCCCACTGGTCCTCACTTGCCCTGGTGTAGGATCAGGTAAACTTAGTGAAATTATGTGACTCCCCCGACCCCCCAGCAGTGTCCCGCTACTGCCAATCTCTCTCTTGTAGTATTATGATTAATGTTCAGGGTCCACTTATGAGTGAGAACATGAGGCGTTCAGTTCTTTGTTTCTGTGGTAGATTGTTGCGGGAAAACAGAGAGGCTGTGACACTGAGGCTATCTTAGGAAGTAGTAGTTTTATTAGCGCGTATTGGCTCGATTCAGCGGGCTAATGCTCCTAGGCTGAGCACCCCAGGGTGGGAGGAGAGGGATCTTATACCTGAGTTTAGGTAAGGGAGGGGGTCGGGTTGCGTGTCTATACATTTTCTTTGTAACTTACAAGGTTGTACTTAGCAAAACCAGATTTTCAAAGAACAAGTGGTTGCCAGAATATGCATAACAAGCAGGGGTTATAAACCGATAACTTCACAAAGAGAGGATTTGGGTTAAGGTTGTGAATTGGTTGCTGTTTTGCATTTCCAGGAAAGCCATCTTTATGCTATTGGGTTTTCTCAAGCAAAACCTGTCTAGCAGGTTTTCAGAGCTTGCAGAATGATCTTTATTTTTATTTATTTATTTATTTATTTGAGTTGGAGTCTCACTGTCACCCAGGAATACTTTTAACTGTTATCAGCCCCTCTCTGCCACAAGATCATTCAGTATGATGGACTCTAAATCCATCTAAGTTGCTGTGAAGTTCATAATTTTGTCCTTTATGGCTGCATATGTTTTCAAGGTAATTTAGGGAAGATGTGAAAGCCGCTGCCAGAAAAAATTGCTTTTAGAACAATAATTAAATCTCCAAGCCCCCCATGGTTGTGCATAGTTAAGCCTTGTAACCTGAGAGCCTCATTTTTACATTTTAGGAAACAATTTAAAGAAAGCCTTTGCAGTTTAATTCACATGAGAGTTCAGTAGAACCTTTGGATGCTAGGGTGAGCTTTCTGGTACTTTCACAAATTAGGAGTGCTCCTACTGAAGTAGGCTTCTTTCTGAAGCTCCTTTATTTCTTCCATTCTGTTCCTTATCTCCAAGACTGGCTTAAGTTTTTATAATGTTTTTCCATAACACGTTGTACTTTACTGTTGCACTTAGTGTGTTACATTATAATTATCTTTTAAGTGTAGGTCTTTCTCACTACTCTGCTTCTTAGGGGCACATGATATTCCTTCTTCCTCTTGCAGCTAGGGCATGGACATGTGACAAAGTTCGGTCAATCAGATACTTCTTTCAGGTCTTTGAAGGGAGTGGTGCAAAGACCTCAGGACAACTAGAGACTATATGTCAGCAGAGACATCAACGAATGCCTTTGGTAGTTCCTAGGGAGACAGTTCCTAGGAAGACCTTCTAACTGGACAGTTGCTGCGGCATGACTTGGGTCATGTGCTGCCTGGATGCTCCTGCCTGAAGACCCGCCTAAATCTGGATTTCTAGCCTTCCCACCTACTCTGTGAGCTATTGGACACATGTGCTAGTAACTTCCTTTTCTGCCCAAATTAGCAGTCATTTTTTGTTTGCTACTAAAAACTTCATATGTATGGTGAATTTCCCAAGATTCATTAACTGCAAGCAACAGATGCTGACTGACTTGTTATAAGACATTGTGGTTGAATCCCAATAGCTCTTCTGGTTAGTTTGGTTTCTAAACCAGTTGTTCTCAAACTTGAGGGAGCATCAAAATTGGCTTTGAAAACATGTTGCTTGGCTCACCCCACCCCCCCCCCAATTTTGTAGGTGTAATGGTCAAATTTTTTTTTTTTTTAGTTGGAGTCTCACTCTGTCACCCAGGCTAGAGTGCAGTGGCACACTCATGGCCACCACAGCCTTGGCCTACTGGATTCAGGTGATCCTTCCACCTCAGCCTTCCAAGTAGCTGGAACCACAGGCATGTGTCACCACACCCAGCTAATTTTTTGATTTATTGTAGAGATGAAGTCTCACTAGGTTGCTTAGGCTGGTCTCGAACCCCTGTGCTCAGGCAATCTTCTCGTTTCAGCTCCCAAAATTTTTGGGTTACAGATGTGAGCTACCGCTCCCAGCAGTAATGGTCAATTTTATGTCAACTTGGTTAGGTTATAGTCCCCAGTTACTCAGTCAAATATTCTAGGTGTTGTAAAGGTATTTTGTAGATGTACTTAACATCTACAATCAGTTGAGTCTTAGTAAAGAAGATTGTCTTTAATGATCATGGCGGGCCTGTTCTAATCAGTTGAAAGGCCTTAGGAGCAGAACTAAAGTTTTCTGGAAAAATATCTTTCTGTGACTTCAGTTTCAGCTTGAGGCCCCTCCTGGTGGCCTACCTTATAGATTGGGACTTGTTTAACTAGCCCCCACAATTGTATCAGCCAATTCCTTCCAATACATTTCTCCATATATATAGTTCTGTTTCTTTGGTTGAACCCCAACTGAGACAGATTTTGGTACCAGAAGTGACTCTGGAAGAACAAAATCTTAGGAATGAGTTTTCTGAATTGGTTCTGGTTTTTCTGGAATGTGTTACCCGATCTGATTAGACTGAGAGACAGGAATCATTGCATTTCCAGTGGCAAAGAGAGCGCTGATAGTGGCATGATGTGGCAATCGAAATGTACAAAGTGCCTCATTGAATACTCCTAATCAGATAGCTGTAAAATACACGGTCTGGGTGACCATGTATTTGATACTTTAGAACATTTTAGTCAAACAAACAGTATAATGAGACTGATTTTTCTTCATTGGGCTGAACAAAGTTGAGAAGGAAAAGGGTGAGCGAAGGACGTCAAGCTCCCAGCTGAAGCTTTGCATAAATGACTGGAATGCTTTTATACCACCCTGACTGAAATCCTCATCTCCTTAGCCTCAGGGCTAAGATTTCTGAAAACCAAACCCAGAGCCTCATTCCACAGGTGGCTGTATTACAATGTAGATCAAATCCCTAACCTTGTAGGGTGTCTACTTAAAGTGAGAGCATTGATTGGGAAGGAACGGGGTTCTGAAAGTGGAATGGGGACATATGAGAGGATCCCAATAAGGCCAGGGGAATTGGCCTAAATTCTGCTTAGGCAGAAGCAGCCCTTCTACCTCTGTCTGAGAAAGTGAACCCTACTTTGCCTGAAGGACTTGTAATGGTCTCTCCTGGTGTTCCTTGCAAGGCATTACTGATTCTCCTCAGGATCTACCCCTGCCACCTACTGTGTTTCTAGGCCTAACCAGACCCAAGTTCCCACATATATCAAAAAGTGAAGTACAAATTATGATCCATGAGAAGGTAATACTGTTCACCAAAAGAACTCCTTGAGTTTTCAGTTTGTTCAGGCAGAAACCTGAGGAATAGATGTGGGAATGGATCTGAAGGGTGTAGGACAGTGGTGGAAGGAATATAGCTTTTTGGGTTTTTTTTTGAGTTGGGATCTCACTTTGTCACCTCGGCTGGAGTGCAGTGGTATGATCATGGTTCATTGCAGGCTCAACCTCCGGATCAGGTGATCCTTCTGCCTCAGCTTCCCTAGTAACTGAGACTACAGGTGTGCACCACCACACCAAGCGAATTTTTTGATTTTTTTTAATAGAGATAAAGTCTCGCTATGTTGCCCTAACTTCTAGGCTCAAGCAGTCCTCCCTCCTCGGCCTCCCAAAGTGCTGGGATTACAGGTGTGAGACACCATGCCCAACAGGAATATAAAATTAAGTCAGGCCAAATTTATTCCTATGAGCCTACTAAGCAGAGATTCTGAATTCAGTATTTGAGGGATTAGAAAGGACTCTTGGCAGTTTAGTTACTTCATTGAACATGGCTTCAAAGATTGCCCACGCTAAAGTAAAAATGTCAGAACTAACTTGGTATACTGTGGAGGAAGGGTTCAAGGCTCAGAGAGATTGAAATGTTGGAGTGTATCATTTAATGTAAGAGCCACGCACCCAGAGGGGCCCAGAGAAAACACCTTTTACCATATCTGAGAAATGTGTGGGGCTGTGGGGGTGTTGCAGGGGTCACAAATTTAGATTCTGTTCTTTTTTTTTGAGTTGGAGTCTTACTCTGTGGCATACTCATGGCCACCCCAGCATTAACCTGCTGGGCTCCAGTGATCCTTCTGCCTCAGCCTTCCAAATAGCCAGAACTACAGGCGCACCCTACCATGCCCAGCTAATTTTTTATTTTTTATTGTAGAGACGCGGTCTCGCCAAGGTGCTTGGGCTGGTCTTAAACCCGCGGGCTCAGGCAATCCACTTACCTCGGCCTCCCAAAGTGCTGGGATTACAGGCTGAGCCACCGAGCCCAGCCAGATGCTGTTCTTTGTAGGTCAAAAAGTACAGTGGGAACTGCTGCCACCAAACTGGAATCCCTAGATGCAATGGGGTTAAATGATCACAGGGAAGCAGGGGCTAAATGATGACACTTCACCACCAGAGACAACATGGTGTGGTTATGTTGTAATGGAGAGCAGAGTCAGAGCAGCCATCAGAATTGCCTGACTCACAGAGACCTATGGCACCGGCTAGTTGATCGTGGTGTATTAGAAAAAAAATAGATGAGCAGTTTACTAAATTCTTAGTTGCATAAGTGGAATAGTTCTAGGTTGAGCAAACAAGTCAGCCTTAAGTCACTAAGACCGAGTCATGGCCTCTGAATCATTTCCCAGACTTAAGCCAGTTTACAGACTCAGAATCTCTTTGATGAAGGAAGGACTGGGTCCTCTTGAGGAAGGACCCTGGCATACTGCCAAAAGT